CCCCCCCCCCCCCCCTTCATGTGGGGTAAACCACACACCCCAAAATTCCATGTGAGGTTTTCACCGCCGTGATACCACACCTTCTGCCGCCCCGGAAAAGGAATTCTTCCCAGAGGGGGATTTTGACAGTAACCTGTGTATCTGAAAAAATAAAGACGATGGATCGCCTCGATAATCCGGCCTTGAGCATCACGGCTTTAATGTCATCGTGCCAGTCGTTGAGGCTGTAGGAGCGACGTGACTCAATTTGGAAACAAATATGTTCACCCAAAAATGCTGACAGTCGTGTTAGACTCTGTCGTCCTGAAACATGCACCTTCCACTTAATTTTCTCGGTGAGTATGCTCAGTTATGAATGATAACTGACATAATTGCGAGAGTCTATTCACAGGCGTAATCGTGGTGTCACTCGCTGATGTAATCAATTGTAATCCCAGTGAAATCAATGTAATCATTGTAATCACATGATTACCATGTTTGTAATCAAGTTTTGGTAATCAAGTGGTAATCATTTGTAATCACTTTAATCATTTGTAATCAGTGTAATCTTTCGTAGTTGCTCCTAGTGAGACCGTGAATTTTGTTTTTGAATTTTCGAGCGCGTCATTTCTACCAACGGTAAGAGTCAGAGATCCCGGGATCAATTTGTCTTGGAATCCCAGATGTTTATGGTTCAGTACCTTACATAGCCAATGCGTTTTGCACAGAGCATTTGTCCGTAGAAAATTGATTCAACAGAGTTAAAATTTCTTCTTATTCTGGAGAACCAACGACTGAATTATCTCTGAATTATCTGCTGGTAAGTTTCATTCTCCATCAATGGTAGATATTCAGTAAATTTATTTTGCCGATAGCACTTATAAATCCCCAAATTTTTAGATGGAGTGATGGAGACTGCATTCCTCTATTCTAATCCCCGCCCCTCCGTCCTCATTTCTTTGCAGGTTCTAATAATTAATTATTCCATCAATTCATATTTAATAAGAGGCCATTTTTTGTGATTTCTATCATTACAGATGTTTGGTAATCACAGAATGTAATCGAAGAAATCATTTGTAATCATGTAATCACATTCTGTGCTCTTGGTAATCACAGTAATCACATAGGCAACGGTAATCAGTGTAATCAGTCCTGTAATCCTGGGTAATCGATTACATTTTGTAATCCCGGTGTCTCCCAATTCGCCTGTGAATAGCCCCTAGCATAATTGTCATTGTCATTCTATTCATGACAATTGGTGACACTCAATTAAGGATAACATATGGATTTTGTTTCGTGGATAATTTGTTTATCAAATTCAATCCGCAAAAACGATATTCTACACTTTCAAGATTATGCGGACTGTCACAAATATGGTGTTGTTGAATATTTTCGAGCATTGTACGAGTATGAAACAGTATCTCTCACCGGAGCCACCCATGCCCAGAAGCAAGGCATTCCCTCTAGCTTGTCGAATAATCCGACTTATTCTGGATATGTGACTCATTGCTTCTTCAAAAAGGACCAGATTCATGGGTGCATTTGTTGTTTCATTGTATTCCTCTAGACTCTGCAAGAGTACGGATTCCATCTAAAGGAAAGGAATTCCAGTCATACACGGAGATGAAATTCAGCATCACATTTTCCTTTTTCCCTCTCTAGGTCTTCCCCTGGGTCTGACTCTGCACTTTGAATTTTGCTGTTTCATTTTCTTTTTAATTAATCCATTGACAAAATTCTCCCCCGTCAAAACTTCTCAATAATTTTTCATTCTATTGAATGGAAAATTATTATTCTCATCAGTACTCCCGAGAATAAAAAAAAAGAAAACAAAAATTAATTTTAAAAAATGGAATAAAAATTTTTTTTTGCTTCAATTGTGTCAAACAGGCGTTTTTCGGCTGTTTCATTTTGCCCCACTCTCTCCTATAAATTAGTCCAGTCACTGGTGCGTTTACCCTACTATAATGGAATGTGAAAATTTGGATGATACAGATGATTATGAAATATATACCTCTCGAAAATCAATAATTCTTTCATACTCTCCATATCGTCCACAAAAATCGCCAAAGAATATTGAAGTTCCATCAACGAGACCTCTACTAGTCTCGCCGAAAAACTCAATGAGCGTCAATCGCAGTATTTCATCAAACCGTTCCAAATCCTTTCCATCGACCAAACGGTCTCCCATCACGCGGGAAACCTCATGAAACCACAGGGCTAGAAGTTTTCCTCTCGTCTGAAGTAAGACAAAGGAACACAATTAACCAACACAAGTGAAATAATTGTCCGTAGCTCCCTGTTAGAAAAAAAAATGAAATTTCATGGACAGTTGACACTGAATGAGATTTAGGGGAAAAAACCAGGAAATTTCAGGTTTCACTGAAAATTCAGTAAAATTCCAGAATTTTACGGGGCATAAAGACGAGAATTCCTTAATTTATTTGAATTTTCAACCTAATATGAATATTCAATGTCAAATTACATTAAATTTTCAGTGAAATCTGAAATTTCATGACTTTTTTCCCCCTAAATCGCATTTAGTGTAACTGTCTTGAAAACTCAAGAATATATTTACCAGAAATTTCTGGTTTTCTATTCATTTTCAGGGAAAAATAGAACGGAAATTTACGTTTCTGTTTGATTTCTCTACGAAATTTTGAATTTTCACTGACAAGATTTCCTGAAATTTCGCTGGAATTGCAACACGACAAAAATTTCCGCAATTTGGCACGGAAAATTCAGACAAAAATTGTGAACAGTGTTCCTCGAGTATTGGAAAATGAGAAGTCAACTTACGTCGATTTTCTCTGGCTCAGCCATGAGCATTCCTTGGAAAATTCTCGAGAAATCGCGTAGATTAAAAGTGTAATGAGACTTGTCTGGGGTTGGCAAGAATTTCTGACAAACTGTGTTGTAGAGATTCAGGCTGGCATTAAGAATATCATCGAGCGGCTCAATTGCCAACGGACCACGCACTAGCCAGGATTTCATGATCGTTCCATAGATTTTCCTCTGCAATTGATAATTAAATTGAATGATGTTCCTGGAATTGAATATAAGGGATTATCGAATTATTCGTTCTCGTCATATCACCGAAGCGAATGCATTCGATTGACCCAGATTCATTATATTTTGGCCTCTGGCTAAATGTGATTTTATCAGTAGAATAATTTATTTTCACAAATATTCCCACGGACGACGAGCTATATTATTATTTTTATACCTCTCGAAACCAGTCGTTTGAAAATTAATGCACATGTGTTTGTCTTTTTTTAATAGCAGTGAAAAGATCAACTTGTTTGAACGGAAAAAAATCGAGACACGTGCAAAGGGACGTTTTGCGCTAGCCTCATGATGACCAGTAAAGAAGGGAGAGTAGAAAAGTTTCAAGGGTTGCCAGTAATTATGGAAAATTCTGAGCCATTGAAACTAGAGTTACGAGGTATAATTACCTCAAATGCCTATGAGCCCTTAAAACGCGGTAGGAAAAGAACAAATAGAGGCGACCAATATCGATCTGTTTCACTTCGCTTTACACACAAGAGGGGTTTGTTAATGATTCTGGTATAAAAACAACTTATGTGGGTGCGGAATGAATTCTTAAATAGTGGCATATCAATGTTTGGACAATTCTCGATTAATTACTTTGGCCTCGTCCTCCATTTCTGGAAATACGATTAGGTGAAAGTGGCGGAGCACGCGCTCGCTTATTGAGTTCCTACCGCCTCCAGGTGGCTGCATGGCCCCAATCAAATTAACATCACATATTGCACGGAATTCTCCAATATCGGTTGTATCGTACCATCCTGGAGATAAATCGGTTTCTCATTAATTTTTGGGAGTGGATTTTCCCGCCCTGAGGGAGGTTTTTCAAATGAACTTCATCCAAACGAATTATTGTATCGTCCATACGAACTCTCGTCCACTATGACCATGTGCACAATCTCTGTTATCGAAAATAGAATTCCCATTTCTAAACCCCTGTCGAATAGTTGACTTTTATGAGGATGCATCTCTTTATTATTCATCACTAGGTCGCTCGCTCCGTTCGCCAACCCCCGTATGACTCCCAGTCTGACACACATGACCCTTATTTTGACACTTGTGACCATTAGTTTCTGACCCTTGGTTTTTGACACTTTATTTCTGACCCTTAATTCTGGTAATATAGAGCGAGCCCTATATGACCTCCCTGACTCTTATTCTGAACTTTATTATAACCCTTGTGACCCTTATTTCGACCCTTAATTTTGGAGTCATAATTTCGAGTACCAAATTTTCATCCTCAAGTCGATTTGGATTTTTATAATATAGGGAGAGATATGTTTTTCTACTTCTTTGGTCGAATATCAGAGCTTTCATTTGAGCCCCATTTGACCCTAAATTTCCGCAATTTTCAATGATTTTATTATGTGCTAGGCGGCTTCGCCCCCTGCTCACTTCGCTCGTCGATCCCGGGGGAGAGGGGGTTCGCCGCCCGCTCGCTTCGCTCCCCCCCCTCCCTATCTTCTTGGGTCTGTTTAAGTATGTGTATTGTATGGAAAAAAAATTGATAGAATGATTGACCGCCTCTGGAAAATTAAAATTTTTATTATTTATAAAACGCTCCAACCAACGCCTTTTGTCTTGAAACTCAACTATTCATTTTTCTATTTATTCACATAGAATAGGATGAAGTATACTCTTATTATTATTTTTGAAGGATTCATATCATTCCCATAAGACCCTATATGAACTTATAGAGATATAATCATACTAAAGAGGTAGAGATTAGTATATTGTGTTACTAGTGCGTAAAGTTCCATTTTTTCACAGGCACGTGTATCCTATTTTTTGTGGTACCAGCATATGAACTCATAGAGATATAATCATACTAAAGAAGTAGAGATTAGTATATTGTGTTATTATATTTTACACATTATATTTTTTTTGGTACCAGCCGAGTTCACTTTTCGAAACGGTAGTGGGGGTAATGTGGTTGTTTTTACGCACGCCGTGCGGAAAACAACCGCTTTACGCACACTAATCCGTTTTGAAAAGTGCACTTTTGAGGCAGGTATCACAATAGTATATTTCGTAACGAGTGCAAAAATTTTTTTCACGAGTTACGAACAATATTTTTCATCACAATGTGCCGGAAAGTGGACTTTTAGGCACGCGGAGCGTGCCGAAAGTTCACTTTTCCTCACAGCGTGATGAAAAAAATAATTCATCTCATCATCAGAGTCACAGATAAGGGTCAGAATCAGGAGCGTCTTCCGAATTCCCAAACCTCCTTATTTTTTTATTATGTAGAGATATATAGAGAGATATACCATTGAAATCCAGCAACTGACGCAGGAGTTCTAAAGGCGGTTGTGCGCCATACTGCTCTAACATGGGCATATTCAAATCGTCTATGAAGAAAATATGCCTCTTCGAAACTGGCGGCCCGTAACTGCCCGTTCTTCGTTTCTCCAATTTGGAATCGATCAAATCCTGGAAAGACAATGGGACATTCCACCCCCGTGCTTTTCATTACGAGTCTGTTACGTCAGAACGACGTGCAATTTCTTTCTCTTTAAATTCAAGAAATTCAATGTTCTCGATTTTTTCATTCTACAATTCAGTAGCAAAATAGTAAAACGATTTAAGTCGGCTTATCTCCCAGTTGAGTTTTTGAGGAATATTTCCGAATCCAAGGGAGATAGCGAAATTATCGTAATTACATTTGTTATGGCTCTCAATCGGCTCTACAAAAAAGGTTATAACAAAAATTTTGGTATCTCCCGTGGATTCCGAGATATTTATTGAAATCTGGTCAATAGTCAAAATTAACTTGTACCATTTTACCACTTCGCTACTGAATGTAATTCCGTCGATTTTCTCGATTGTAATCAATGAAAAATGAGGAAAAATCAGGACAATAATCGCTGATTATTCTTGCAAATAGTGCACGGAGAGAAATATTCAATAAAAATTACGTATCTTTTCCGCAATTCCGGAGCGAAATGTGGTTGTAAGAAATTTCACGGAACTGTCCCAGAATTTTTCCGGAGCGTTTTGTAATTTTTATCTGAATCTCCTGTGAAAAATTACGATACCGTCACTTAAATTTTCTGAGTCGATTCCGTAATCGGTGAGTGAATTTTTACTGAACATTTCTCTCTGTGTACATTTACGTCAGAAGTCTTTTGTGATTTGGATAATTCATGACGTAACAAGTCAATTACGATTACTTGGACTTTTTGAGCTGATGTCTTCGCAGAAAATATGACAAAGTCAGTGATGTACTTGGCTGGCATGCCCCTCGCCAATTTTCTCGAAATTGTAACGGTTTTTCCACTGCCCGTTGGACCGACTGCCAGAACATTGGACTTATACAGTAGTAGATATCCAATAATCGTCGAGCTTCGGATAGTGTCCATGGTAGGAATATCGATATCTGTTCACCGAAATATGAGATCATCGCATAACCTTTGGGTAAAGTAGGGGAGGGCAGGGTAAAGCGGACACTTTCGACTTTTTTGAAATATTCATGACCTGTTGGATTGTTCATGAAATGAAATAATTTTATTTTTCAATTGGAAAACAATGATTCCTCTTTGTGACGAGCTTAGACTGAGCTCAATTGATAAATCTGTTTCTGAGTTGTGAATATCGATATCTCGCAAGTCTGTCACGCTTATTCCTCATTCTTATTGTATCCTATTCTAAAGAGAATATACACGTAAAGTCGATAACTATCGATATCTCGCAAGTCTGTTACTCTTATTCCTCATTCCTATCCTATCGTAAAAAGGAGAAAGGAAATCGATCTCGAAATATATCGAAAATCTCGAAGCGTAAGCGTAAGACTGAAACCGAGGCGCCACTACGTGAGGAGATGAGAAGGCGCGTAGCACGCGCGGCCGATCTAGTTCTAAAAAGAACATACACTCAAAGTCGATAACTATCGATATCTCGCAAGTCTCTCACGCTTATTCCTCATTGGTTCCAGTCATCTGAGGCGGCAAATTTAATTCATGATAAATTTCATTTTGAGATTTTCAATTATGATTGTCACAATCACAGCGCGCGGTAGCGCGCGTTCGGTCTCGTTTTTAAAAAAGTCAAAAGTGTCCATTTTACCCTACCCTCCCCTAAAACGTACCATGAAATTGCGTGTGCGCTCCTAATGATTCCGCTTCTTTTCCATGCGTCCATTTCATCCATCGGGGCGGGATGTTACTATCCGCGGATGCATCGGTGTATCCCCCCTCCTCTAATCTGGTATAATGAATTCATGTCTACACTATCGAGATGCAGGAGTTGAATAATTCAATAATCATCACGCATCACTGCACTTTGTAATTACGAACATGCATAACTAGAATACCGACATTACTCTGCAATCACCCGTGTAGAAAAATTTCTGTCTTTAGAAGGTCTTCTAGAAATCTTGGGAAGAATCTTCGAAAGATTATGTAGAAGATCTGCTTGGTGACCCAAAAAGATTCTTCAGAAGACAAAATCTTCTAAAGACAATTTTAATTTTCGATCCTTACTCCTTTGATCCTTACTTTTTTGACGCTCAAATTACTAAACCCTGAATTTTGGACTTTGAAAATTTTGACCCTTAAAATTTTGTCTTCTGAAGAATCTTTTTGGGTCACCAAGCAGATCTTCTACATAATCTTTCGAAGATTCTTCCCAAGATTTCTAGAAGACCTTCTAAAGACAGAAATTTTTCTACACGGGCAGTCATTACACTAAATGTTAATTATGGAATGACCATTTCAAAGATGCAACAATGGCAGATTCGATATGAAAGGCGCATTATCCAAATGATTCTTTTATGTTCTCCACTCATAATGCGTTGAATTCGAATTTCCTCGTGAATTGACTAACTCCCGAACAAAAAGCTCAATATCTCGTATTAGTAGGCGTTAAAGGTAATCCGTGTTCGAAGCGGAGAAGCTCTAGAGATTAATGTGAATTACGTGTAATCGTAGACGAGCCCGTCCTCTGGAAACCGCGTGGGATGATGCAAATCCTTCTGAATCGTCCTAAGCCATTCACTGAAAATCCAACGACTCTCCGAATCACAGCTTGCGCCAATACTCCAGACAATTGCAAATGCTACCCAGGGAGTTAACAAATCACCTGGAAAAATTGAAGGAAAAAAACTGGAGGGGAGGAGAGAAAAACATGCAAATGACCACGATGAGCCTAATAAATGCTGACAAATATTTCTCCTTGAAGCGGATTCCACAGGATGAGGGGGCGAACCCTCGCCAGACAGCTCTGTGGAAAATCGTACATTGATGAGGTTTATGTACGCCTGCACCATCATCACATCCACTGTGGCAACGATTTCCCTCATTTGACTGCGTAGAATGGCGAGGGCTGGGGGAAGCAACTCGTAAGTTAATTTAGACAGGTCCGTGGCGAATCCCTTCATTCCCTGAAAATTGGAGTTTATCATCCGAACGGAGATATTTAAAGCTTTTTTTCGTTCAGTATTAATGTGATTGGGGAATATTCGAAGTACCTGAGGGAGGGATTCAATCCAACAGTCAATTAATGCCTCGTGTCCTACAGTTCCGGACTCCAAGTAAATCATTCCACATCTGTTGTTTTGACATTAGGGAAGATCAGAGCGGATCAGTAAGAAGGAATTATTTTATGTAACAGTAAAATGGTAGGGGAGCTGGGGGCTGTACCGCACAGCGGGCAATACCGCCCATCCGTATTTTCCAGGATTTGCTGAGAACATTTTTTTTTCTTTTATTATGCAAATATTTGATAACAGCAAGTTATTTCAACAGAAATTTTCAATTTCCGGCTGTGGAAAAATTGTTAGAAACATCTAAATCATTTCCTACTGAATTTTTCAAATTTTTCGACTTCAGAATTTAAGATTTTTCAAATTTCCAGTTGTGTATTTCGCACTCCAATTTAATGGAGTGCATTTCCCTAGGTGGGCGGTACATGCACCAGATCCCCTAAATACGACGATTCTGTGGGAAAAATTTCTAGGCTTGCGAGAGATAAAAAAATTTATTACATCATATAGTTTATTAAAAATGATGAAAATTCGAGTTTCACTGAAAATTCAGTGACAGTTCGCATATTTGAGCAGCAATCACGAGCAAAACCAAAATATTTTCTCTTCGATTCACTAAAAACTTGAGAAAATATTTACTTGAGACAAAATTTAGAATCTTCAATCACAAAAAAATTACCTCCCCTAAGTCAAGTAGCTTCAGAAACAACTTATCCTAGTCAAGCCGACTCATTCAATTTCATTGAAATTAATTACGCACAATTTCATTTTCTCTCACCTGGAAACAGTGGCAGGAGAAGCGACTTTGAGATCTCCCACTTCAAACATGACTGTTTGCCGCGGGGACAATTTAATTATCTCCCCCGATGTCAAACACAATTTTTTATTATCATCCAACACCGTATTCATATTCTCAATCCAAACGGCATCAACAGGCCCATCAAAGATGTACCATCTTTTTTTCATATCATTTGCACTGCTTCCAGCTCGCACCATGTGCGGTAAAATTCCATCAGTCCACTCATGTGTATCAATATCAAATTCTCCGTATAGTTGACCGAGTGTAATCGCTTTGGGATTGAGAACGACTGTTTCAACTGACTCAAAGACATTCCCAGGAGTTTCCTGTTTACCTTGCAGCATTCTGCACGCGTCTCGCAATATTTGGTAACACTGAAATGAGCGAAGATCATGCATCTGAGGTAGAGGGGGGAGGGGAATGGGCAGGGGGATGAAAACACACATTTCTTTACGGGAAATAAATCTTTTGGGGAGGGAAATCTTTGAATGAATGAGGCCGCATAATTTACTACTCAATTCTGCCCTGACATCCCAAATTTTGACACTCCAATGTAGCCCTACGTTGACGTCAATGAGTTACAGTATCAAGCACCATTTACGAAGAAATTCAAATCAGTAGCGAAGTGATAAAACGATACAAGTCAATTTTTACTATTGACTAAATCGGAATTCCGGCTTTTTGCGGTTCGGGATAGTTTTTAATATTATTTGCCGTTAGAAGGACGGTGGCGATATACAGTAATGATAATAATAATAATAATAATAATAATAATAATAATAATATACTAATAATAATAACAATAATAATAATATAATAATAATAATAATAATAATAATAATAATAATAATAATAATAGTAATAGTCCCTTTGTCTACTTAGGTAGCATGATTCGGGACTGCAGTAGAGCTCACCCTGTGGTCAGAGGGAGCACTATAGCAGAGCGATTAGGAGAAGTTTGCATCGCTTAGTTTACTCGGCGGTCTTCGAGCTGAACTCGGAGCCCTCGAGGATCGTTCAGCGATCTCATTTACGAGTAAAAAATAATAGTAATAATAATGAAATGTAATAATTATAAAACCGAAAAATCAATTATTTGAAATAATAATAATTCTTTTCAGTAAAATATAATGATAGATTTTTTTCAATGAAGGTTTTCAATGAATATATCGGAATCTAAGGAAGATAGTGAAATTTTTGTTATAACCTTTTTTGTAGAGCCGATTGAGAGCTACAACAAATGTAATTACGAAAATTTCGCTATTTCCCTTAGATTCGGAAATATTGCTAAAAAACTCAACTGGGAGATGAGTCGACTTAGTTTTACGACTCCGCTAATGAAATATACTTTCATTATTATATTATAAGTCTTTCAGTGTACTTGGCCCCTTGTTATCCAAATATCCACCCACTTGAATATCAGTATGTGATGAGTGACATCATAGTTCCGAAATCTACATGACTCGCCTGATAATTTCAATTCAGTCTCCATTGCTCTCGAATGTTCCCGACACACGCAAAATGAAACTCTATTTTCTTTATTTTCATCGACGTGAAAAGCATTATCTGGTCTTAATTAATAGTGATACCTTTGGGACTAATTGGAGTAATCACGCGAGTAACATAAACCAGCCTAGATCTCCACTCCCGAGATTCGAAATGAAATAGGAGACCGGCGCAATGTGAAAGCACAAATTTGCGCATGCGATAAGAAAGTTTCAAAGCACCGAGTGAACAGCTCACTCATGCCTCTCCAAACAGTTCAACTTGGATCATCTGTTTGATGACACCAAAGCAAATTTTCACCCCCATAAGTCAAAAGACACATCCACTTTCCCCAGAAAACAGCCGTCCAATTGTCACCTCAAACAGCCCATTCATCAACTTCAATCCAATTTCAATCTAATTCGAATAGACCAACGTTCGGAGACAGTGGGCCAAAAATATAAACTTAATGACAAACCGGTTTGCGAAAGATACATGGAAGCTCATGGGAACCCGAAAAACCGGCGCGCAAGGCGCTACAGAAAACAAATGGAAAATTTGCCGAACAACTTGGTACAATACATCAACCTGAAGAGAAAAAAATAATTCCATTCGATTGTGCATACAACGATCCTAGCTAGAGAGTCCGTGCGGAGTAAAAATAGAAAATCTTGCGGAAGTTGAAAAAAAAAGTCCAAACAATTCAGCAAAAATAGAGATAGAAACATGTATGGAGTGAGTCTACATTGCTTGGAGACTAGATTTCGACGTTCAGTGCAGGAAAATTACACGAATGTCTCGTACCCCATTAAATATAACAGTGGTTTAAATTACGAAGAGGAGCCGCTACCGTGTGAGTCTCTTCTCTTTCTTCTGGAGTTCTTTCACGCTTATTACATTCCCACAATAATAATTCTGGGCCTAGTCGGCAATCTTCTGTCATGCATTGTATTTTCGAATACCCATCTGAAGATGCGCAGTTCGAGTTATTATCTGGCAGCTCTGGCTATAACGGATTTCACATTTTTAAGTGCTTTACTACTCGTCTGGTTGAACAGTGAACTCGATTGGCGGGTGTTCAATGCACACGGCTGGTGTCAAATACTTGTGTACATCAGTGCTGTCTGTAGTTCACTGAGTGTTTGGTTGATTGTCGCCTTCACAGTTGAACGTTTCATTGCCATTCAGTATCCACTCCACAGGCCACAAATGTGTACAATATCGAGGGCTAAGACGATTGTTTGCTCACTGATTGTTTCGTCAATGATCTGTCACTCCTATGCATTTGTAACTGCTGGTGTTGTTGAAAGTGTCCAGGGAATGGCCTATTGCGATCTCAAAAGTGAATACACGGATATTATGAAAGTTATCAGTACGATTGACAGTATTGCAAGTCTGATGGTGCCTATTATACTGATTGTCGTCATGAATACAATGATTATGCGCAGTCTTTTGAAATTTAGCCGGAGATTTAGACAAACGCCCGTGACAAGTGTTGTGGTTTCCAAGCAGTGCAACAGCAAAGATCAACCGGATATTAATCTCAACCAAATTTCGGTGAGTACTCATCTGTTGTTTTATCAAATTCAGTAGTGAAGTGGTCAAACGGTTTAAGTTGATTTTGGCTATTGCCCAGTTTTCAATTAATATCTCGAAATCTAAGGGAGATGCAAAATTTTTCTAATGACCTTTTTTGTAGAGCGAACTAAATGCTACTAAAAACGTTATAATGAAAATTTCGCTATCTCCCGTAAATTCGGAAATATTTCTGGAAAACTCAACTAAAGATGTAATTGACTTGAACCGTTCGACCACTTCGCTACTGAATTTATCGCCTGTTTTTTTTTCACCGCAATTATCGCGCAAAAAATTTGAGGCAAAATTTTAATTAATTTAATTTTAATTTTTCTAGTTTTGAAACCTAAAGCCCAGAAATTTCTATAGGAACAATCTCAACAGAATGGAAAAATAGAAATCTATTGATTGATGCTGTTACATATTTCCTATTGAAATTTCAATTTTTAAATTGCGCAGTTTTAAAATAGAAATGCTTCTTGTCCGTGACATGACTTTAAAAAAAGGAAGAGTCAATTTATGACGTCGTGTTGGTATTCTCCCCTAGCGTCGCCGGTGTCGAGATAAATACAGAATCGGAAATATGGAATTCAACTTACTACGGCTGCTAGTAGATGAAAATAGTGGGCAGAATGCTGAAGATTTTTTTTTGATTGATGCCGGGCATCCGTTCATCCGTAACGATATTTATAGATTGTTGGTGAGCATCCACACTGATAGAAAAGGTGGAACGATTCAGTTGCACCAAACGAGGCTTCTTAACTGTTACCGCGATTCGTTAATAGTTAACGAATCGTGGTAATAGTTAAAAAGTCTCGTTTGGTTCGACTAAACCGTTCTATCAGTGCATGCAATTTGCGCGATACGTTGATTTATACTTTCGATAAACGAAGAGGACGTGCTGAAACATCGAGTTCTATAGCAAATTGTTAAATATCGTATTCATTGTTTCCTCATTTTTTGCATACGGCACACATTGATTTTTATGTAGTCCGTCAGGGTAAATAGTATATCATGTTACTAGAGCGTAAACTTCTATTTTTTCGCACTCACGTGTAACGCATTCGCTGCAAGGGTGATGCCACAATGGGCGCATGGCAAAACTTACGGAATGCCTGAAACAATCGTTCAACTGGTTTTCAATCATTTGTGACAATTGCAAGCGCTACGTATGCTTGCGTTCCATTCATTGTGGCAGGATTCTAAATTATTTGTTTTCCGGGCGGCGTAGAATTCGAGGTCGTGCATAAAGCGTCGCAATTGCAAAAATTTACTGACATTTACTGAAATTTTTGATCATATCTGGATGAAAATGCACGAAAAAAATATAATTATTGCCCGTCACGCAAAAGATATCACACAGCAATAAATTTTATTATCAGGACAAAATTTCTTTCCACGAAAAATCGTTCATTTCATTTTAATCGAATGGTTCTCTTCACCTTCATCATGGCTGGAATGAATTTTACGTTGCCCCTTTGAGTTTATGGATATCTATGCAAATAAAAACGTCGATAGGCATTCCCCTCCTCATGTTTACGTGGAAAAAGCAACTCCCCTATCAAGCGAAGCACGAGGGAAATACCTCTTTTCAAGAGCAAATATCTGTCCGCACGACGAAAGGAATAGTACATTACACACAGAGAGAAATTTTTGATAATAATTATCCTACCGTTCTATAAAAGTTTATCATGAGTCATCGTTTCCTCATTTCTATCCCGAAATTTAGTAAAAATTAATATATGATGATCAAATTTTATTCAACGTTAGAGAACTTTTATCCTGACGCATAATAAATTTTACCCTTCCAGTCTAATAATTTTTATGTAGATACACGGAGAAAAAAATACATCGTAATTTTGTGAGAATCCTTCCAAAAATTAGTGTGCTGTCTACCAACGCTGGGACATAACAGGGAGTCATCGGAAAATTCGCATGTGGCACACTAATTTCTACGGGAATCCCCCGAAAAAGTNGTAATTTTGTGAGAATCCTTCCAAAAATTAGTGTGCTGTTCACCAACGCTGCGACATAACAGGGAGTCATCGGAGAATTCGCATGTGGCACACTAATTTTTACGGGAATCCCCCGAAAAAGTGGCCGGAGTCCCACCAAAAATTAGGGTGCCACTTATGAATTTTTCGACGACCCCATGTTATGTCCCGGCGTTGGGGGACAGCACACTAATTTTTGGGAGATTTTTTTCTCAGTGTAACAACGAAAATTCTAGAACAGTTGATAAATTTTACCCTATTGGTACAGTAATTTTTACTCTATCGACACCGTAATTTTTATTTTTATCAGGATAAAATTT